ATATGCGTGAGATCATGTGATACTTGTCTTTCTCTGACTGGCTGATTCCACGTAGCATAATACTCTCCGTAATACTGTCTCAAAGAGTAAGAGATCTTCCTTTGTTTACAGTTGCAGAGTTTTCCATTTAATTCAACTCGAAGCGTTCAGTGTGTGTAAGACATCCTCTTTGGTCCGGGGACGGGGTGAGGGTGAGTATGGACACAATTAGCCCCTTACGTTATAAACGGGGTTCTTTGAGAGGTGCTAATAGGGAGCTATTAAATGACATGTGGCATAAGCCTGGAAATAAAAAAGAAAGAACGAGACAGTGGCATGTAACAAAATGGTTAACAAAAAGATAATCATGTGTTCCTAATAAGAATGATTAAAAAATATGTTTCTTTAGTCTAGAGAGGGAAAAAAAAAAACCACTTAATAGAAATTAGGGGTGATTTTGGTTTTACATAAGTGTTTTTGTTTTTGTTTTGTAACCAAAAATCATTCATATGAGGGACTGTGGTGGGCCCTGGAGTTTTCCCTCTTGGATATTTTCAGAAAGAGACTGGGAAATATTTTCACAAAGTATTTCTGACACTTACCTGCCTGAAGACAGTCAGCTTGAACAGGCTTCGCGAGAACCTCAGAGATCTCTTACCTCCTCATTCTATAATCTCGTGGTGATTCAAACACTTTAGACTGTCAACATTGTCCACTTACAGGAAGAGGTGCCAGCTTCTGCACGTTACTTCACAGAAGAGACAAGACTTGAAAAGCACCTTCTGACAGCAATTCGTCCACAACCTGATCTACTTCCACGGTTTCCTAAGCAGAGCAGATCTAAAGGAAGGTGCCTGGGCCTGTGTCCCTGGAAGGGAGGGTGGTGAACAACATGTCATAAACAAACGGAACAGAGAGCAGAGACGCCAGCACCGTCTGTGCTGTCTCCGGTGCACTCCGAGCAGACAGGTCCGGCTGCGGGTGGCCGCAGAGGGCCACCGCCCGCCAGGAAACGTCCTCCCTGCAGCATCGGCTGAGATCGCACGACGCAGCCAGGGCGTCACCTTCACTGAAGGGCATGGGGGAGCCCTGACCAAGTGGACATCTGTTGGTTTAATAGGACTTGGACTCTTCCTTATGATTCTCATCAGAAACAAACTGACAAACACAAAAGAACATATATTAACATTGATGAAAATACTGACCTCCACACATGCCTAGTGCCTTTTGTATAAAGTTGGGAATAATAAGTAATAGAACCTACTTCATATGGGTCTTGAAAGACTTGAGTTGGCCCATTGAAGGCTCAAAGTTGTTGCTTAGGTTAACTATTATCATTACTGTAAAGACTTTTCTCCACTAATCACCATTTGATAAATTCACCAAATTAACCAATACTCTGTACTCCCTACATAAAAAGATAGTGATTGATATGCAAAACAAACCAAAGTGCATGTGACCAGAAGGCCCACCCCCGTACATTCAATTATTGCAAAATCTTAGAAACACTCGTACCCGTATTTAACAATGAGAAATTATGCCTCAGTACACAAGTTAATTTGTGAAAATAATGCAGTTATCAAACGGAAGTCTTGTTCAATGCTTCGAAGTCTTTAAAAGAGAAAGGTGCACCCCTATTGTTACACTACAACCATGGGTTCGACCAGAGAAAACACTTAGACTGAAAAGAAAAGAAAATAGATGTTCTCTGCTGTTAGATCTTACCAAAGATTTCTTCAACTTCTTGCTCTACTTGTCAAAAAATAAAATAAAATGAAAAACCTGCAAGGTGTAGAGATTGCTTTTGGTTGTAGTTGAAGCCACAAAACAGATTCAGAATTCCAATTTCTCCATCATGGGACACACCTGACATTCCAAAACCTGACATCTCATTACATGTCTTACAACTGTAAAATTTAACATATGTATGTATACATATGTACAAATTATATATATGAGTGTGTGTGTGTGTGTGTGTGTGTATACACTTTTCCATAATTCTTCCATGTAACCATCTCTCCGTTTAGTTAACTACTGACTTCGAGTCTGTTGGAAAGACGGCAGTTTCCGTGTTACTATGTGTTGAGTTGGGGTGCAGAGCACATGGATGTTCCCTATGTCACTGTCTTATCGGCATTCATGACTGATCATCTGATCATGTAAAACACGGAGAGGGAGTGAGGACCTTGGAGCCATGTCCCAGACGGGTCTCTTCCCAGTGCCCCAGTGCGGTCCGCCCAGGGCTCACAGTGGGTGACGAGGGAGGGGGTGGTGTGAAGGGGTCGTAGTGGGAAGACCCCAAGTCTTGCGAGTTTGCATGCTGACGTGGACGGACCACCCAGGGTGCAGGCAGACGCTGGCACTGGGGAAGAGAGAGGGTAACCCAGGGACCCCGGTAAGCCGTACGGATTGGGCTGTAGAACAAAAGTAGATGTGTTTTTGTGTTTGACTTGGATAGAAGAGGGATAATTAAAACATGTGAGCCCTGGCCGGTTTGGCTCCGTGGTTAGAGCGTCGGCCTGCGGTCCAGAGAGACCCAGGTTCGGTTCCCGCTAAGGGCACTTACCTAGGTTGCAGTTTGTCCCCGGCCCTGGTTGGGTCGTGTGGGTGGCAGCCACTCAATGTGTCCCTTTCACGTTGATGTTTCTCTCTCTCTCCCTCCCACTCTACCTGAACAAAAAACTGTCCTCGGGTGAGGATTAAAAAAAAAAACACGTGAAAGCAGCTTGGTAGAAACCAGAGATTTCCTCTTCTTCTCTGCTTATAACTGACCCAAGTCCTTCCTTTTTCTTCTCTCTGTATCTCTGAGCCTGCACCCACTTATCCAATGGCACCGCGTCGTGTAGGGCAGGCCTCATCACGTCTCACGTGGACTGTCAGCGTTGTTCTCTCACTGTGTTCTTACCTGCCACTCCCCACTAGTGTGGTCCCCCTAAAATGTAAATAGCAGTGTGTCATTTCCCTACATGAAATTATTCTGGGGTCTGCTGGCCTCCCTCCGGCATGGTGTGTTTCATCAGCATGCAGATTTCACTTAGAACCAGCTACACATGTGTACACATGAGCCCAGTGAACATAAAACTGTGGGCTTCTTATTAATAAATTATTCAAAGTTGCAGCATGGGGCTCCTGAGCTGGTCTGGTCTCCTTCACCATCCACTGCATCCCTGCTGCCATGTCTTCTGCACACGCCAGGTGTGGGGACGCCTGAGTACTAAGGATGGAAACTCGCGTGACCCCTCCAGGCTTCCCCCGGGCCAGTCAGCCCCTCCGTCTGGAAAGTGTGCACTCCGGAGATGTGCTTGGAGACAGGTTTCCTTCTCTTAGCGACCCAGCTCCTCTCTCTCGATAATGAAATGTACTCTGAAAAATTTAATAGCTTGATCACTGCTTTCCAGATGACACCATCGTACTTAGAGTGATGGCTGCAATGGTCACAGTCACAGATTGTGCAGATTTTTCTCGAAGGCTGGATGAGCCGCAAGAAGAGGGTCCATATTTTAATTATTTAATCTCTCATGCTTGGTTCAGTGCCTGACATGGATGGAACAGTCCATCAATGGTTTCTGCGTGATTCATGTGTTATAACAATTCTAAATACTTTCAAGTTGTGTGCCACTAATATTTATTTGCGCTGTTTATGGAAGTTCTAAGAGTCATAGCCTGCTTTAATTCTAGGTCAAAGTTACAGTTTGTTTGGGTTGTGAATCTGAGACCGCGTTTTATCTGAAGATGTCTGGTCATCAGAATGGTGTTTTAAAATGTCTCAGGTGAGCCATGTACAGTGTGGAAGTCTCTTTCAAACCCCTCTGAATCCATCAGCTCCTGCCTCTACCCAGGGACAAGGAAGTGAATGGAGGCTTTTCCATTTCTGCTGGTATTTCGGATAGTTTTATCACTATCACCATTTCTACTTAAATTAGATGTTTTTCAGACACTGTACAGATCAATTTGTGGGAAGCACAAATTATCAAAAATAGTAAGCTTGGGAATCACATGATTAAGTGGTGAGATACGTCCCATGATGCCTGAGGGTCCCCCACAAGAGCCGGTGACTGGAAGGATTCGGGCATCAGAACAGGGGTGCCAGTGACTGAGAGCTACGTGTACATCCGTAAACGGGCTATTGTAGCATCAAGGCAAGTCTGACTATATGAAATATGCTTTTGTAAATATTTTGGGTAGAAGTTCTATTTGCACATACTATGGTTTAAATGTCTGTGCCCCCCCCCCATGCCCAATGTGATGGTGTTAGGAGGAGGGACTTTGGCAGGTGCTTAGGTCGTAAGGGTGGGACCCCCGTAAATGGGATTAGTGCTCTTAGTTACGAGCCCCCGGAGCTGCCTCCCCCCCAGCAGGTGAGGACACGGGCAGAAGGTATAGACTATGGACCAGGAAGGGGGCACCAGAACGTCACCACGGTGGTGTCCAGATCATGGGCTTCCCAGCTTCCCGACCATGAGAAAAATACATGTTTGCTATGCATGAGCTACCCAGTGTGCAGGATTTTGTTATAGCAGCCCAAGTGGACTAAGCCATCTTAAAGATACTACAGAATTCACAGAAAATGAGCTGTGCTTTGCAAACAAACTGAAATGATAAAAACCTGTATTGTTTTCCAGGTTCTGAAAAGCAACAATAAACTTCTTGTTTCGGTTTCAGTATACCTAATCTAATGAGTCAAAGTGGCTAGTTAATTTAAATATACTTACTGGGATTTAGATGTCAGAAAGTTATTTTTAAATTTTTGGTCTACAAATTTTGTTATGGAACATATTTTTATCTCTTTTTAATGATATAAGACCCTAATAAAGAAAAAACAGAAAAAAAATGAATTGAAAGATTCATGTGTCCAATATAAATATATTAGGAGAAAGGTATTTATAGGAACATTAATAGGAAGCTCGTCTGCAGGAATAATAGAGGTTTACAGTAATCAGTAGCATTATAGTGAATTCAAATAATAAATTAAACAAAAATTAATCCATGCAGAAATCCCAGCTTTTTAGGTGCTGGCATCTTTAGTAAACGATGAGGGGGTCCTTGAAGTTCCTGGGAACGGTGGTCCAGTTATGTTCCCACTTGCCAAAGCCTGGAACAATTCCATTGTAATGCAAGGAGTTCCTCACTGTCTTCTCCTGGAAAGAAAGGGCGATTAATGAGAATCAGTCCTGTCGCCCTAAACTGTAAATCTTATAATAGCATGAACAGCATAAATTCTGCAGAAAAAAAAGTGAAAAAACAAAAAGACTATCTCTTAAAATGTACAAAAATACTACGCAGCTGTAAGAAAGAAAGATCTCTTATCCTTTGAGACGACATGGAGGGACCTGAAAAGTATTATCTTAAGCAAAATAAGCCAAGCAGAGAAAGACAAGTATCATATGATCTCACTTATTTGTGGAATATAATGAACATAACAGTCTGAGGAATGGGGTAGTCCCAGAGACGTGGAAGTGGGGTACAGACTGACAATCCCCAGAAAAGGGGGTGGTGGAGGGAGATAAACAACAGAACTTATATGCATGTGTGCATGAACAGTGGACATGGACAACAAAGCTGGGGACAGGATGGGGAGAAAGGGGGGGGAGGAGTCAGTGGGGGAAAAAGGAGAAACATCTGTAACAAAAATAAATTAATTAATTTTTTTAAAATGTACAAAAATAGAATTTTTCACCTATGCAAAATATATAGGCCATAATTTATACACAATTTCTATATTTTTTTTTAATTCTTCAGAAATTCATATCTATGAATGATTTCTCAATGGAGCTATTTTTTTTTGAAGTTTCCACAACCAAGGTCTGAGGAGAAATTGTAACTTTAAATGTATAAAGCATGCTTTTTCTGACATCCCGATCCTCATTCTGTACAGCAGGCACTTCATCCCCCTATGGCTAATATTTATTGATTTTTATTTTATTTATTTATTTATTTATTTATTTATCTATTTTTTAGAGAGAGAGGAAGGGAGAGGGAGACAGAAACATCGATGAGAGAGAACATCCACTGGCCGCCTCTTGCACGCCCCCCACTGGGGATCAGGCCCACAGCCTGAGCATGTGCCCTGATTGGGAATCGAACCGGCGAACTCCTGGTGCAGGGGTCGGCGTTCAGCCACTGGGCCACACCAGCTGGGCCTGTGGCCGGTATTAACAGAAAGCAAGCAGCTGTGTGTACAGCTGGGGCAGGAGTCGTTGCGCTGCAGCAGAAGGAACAGCATCTCATGGGCTGGGAAACCCCCACGAGGGCTTGGCGATGCTAAGTAACCTGTGAGTCCTGCAGTGCACAGTGGGGAAGCCCCTGCTGCATCACTCATCATCAGAGGGATGCAAATTCAAACCACAGTGAGGTACCCCCACACCTGTCAGAATGACTGTCATCAATAAACCAACAAACAAGTGCTGGCGAGGGTTAGAGAATGGGAACCCTCGTGCCGTTGATGGGAATGCAGACTCGCACGACCACTGTGGGAAACTCCATGGAGGCTCCTCCAAATATTAGAAATGGAACTGCCTTTTTTACTTTTTATCCTCACCTGAGGACATTTTTGCATTTATCCTCAGACAAAGCAGGAGGGAGAGAGGGAGGAAGAGAGAGAGAAACATCAATGTGAGAGAGACACATCGAGTGGCTGCCACCCACACAACCCCAACCAAGGCCAAGGACAAACTGCAACCGAGGTACGTGCCCTTAGCGGGAACCGAACCCGGGTCTCTCTGGACCGCAGGCCAACGCTCTAACCACTGAACAAAACCGGCCAGGGCAGAACTGCCTTTTGACCCAGCAGTTCCACTTCTGGGTATTTATCGGAAGAAACCCGAAATACTAATTTGAAAGGATATATGCAGCCCTATGTTCATTCCTACATTATCTGTAACATCCAAGCTGTGGAAGCAACCTAAATGCCCGTCATTAGACAAGTGGATAAAGAAGAGGTGCTGCCTATACACAACGGAATATTCTTCAGCCATAAAAAGAATAAAATCTTGCCATTTGCAACAACATGGATGGACCTAGAGGGTGTCATGTTAAGTGAAATCGACAGAGGAAGACAAATACCCTATGATTTCACTTAGATATGAAATTTGAATAAACACAACAAATGAATAAACAAAACAGAAATAGACCCATAGAAGAGAACAAGCTGACAGTTGTCAAAGGAGAGGGGGATGGGTGAAGGGAATAAAATAAATTAACAAATAAATAAATAAATTTGACACCTATTCAGTCTTCTCTTCATGCTACTACACAGTAAAACTCTAAATATAGCATAATCTTACTGAAGTAAATAGTTCACAAAACCCACAAAACTGAGGGTCTGATCATCATGACTGAAAAGTGAAAAGGAGGAGGTGTTGATCCAAGGAGAGCAGATGTCGGGGAAACAAACATGCAGACGAGGATCCCGGATGACTTGTTGTCGGAGGCAGAGACCAACAGAAACAGCATTTGGTTTGCATTAGTGTCAAACACCAAGTATCTGGTGTTTCTGTGTGTTTAATGCTGCTGTTTGATGGTCTCTGTTTGCAAGAAGCTTGGAATGTCCTCAGAGAGAGGCAGCGCCGGAGCGGAACTCGTAGCAGTGGTTCCGTCCGCAATCGCGCTGCGACAGTGTCCACACCCGCTCAGCCCACTGGAGCGGCGAGGCCATCACGACATGGTTCAGTGTGTGAGGTTGTGACGTGAAGGACATCTCAGACTTGAAGCTGCAGAGGAACAAGGGACACGTGGGAACCGACCCCATGGGATCTGCCTGCACTGGGCTGGGTCAGAAAGGAAACCGGGGAGGGCGGGTCAAGCACAAAGCTCCATGTGGTGCTGGAGGAGTTCAAACGTGCTCAGACCTGACTCAGTTCGATGGGGCACAGGAACGGTGGGGAGCAGGGAGGTGAGGGGCAGGAACGGCAGGGAGCAGGGAGGTCAGGGGCAGAGAGCAGGGAGGTCAGGGGCAGGGAGCAGGGAGGTCAGGGGCAGGGAGCAGGGAGGGCAGGGGCAGGAACAGCAGGGAGGTCAGGGGCAGGAACGGCAGGGAGCAGGGAGGGCAGGGGCAGGGAGCAGGGAGGGCAGGGGCAGGGAGCAGGGAGGGCAGGGGCAGGGAGGGCAGGGGCAGGAAGCAGGGAGGGCAGGAACGGCAGGGATCAGGGAGGGCAGGGGCAGGGAGCAGGGAGGGCAGGGGCAGGGAGCAGGGAGGGCAGGGGCAGGGAGCAGGGAGGGCAGGGGCAGGAACGGCAGGGAGGGTAGGGGCAGGAACGGCAGGGAGGTGAGGGGCAGGAACGGCAGGGAGCAGGGAGGTCAGGGGCAGGAACGGCAGGGAGGGTAGGGGCAGGAACGGCAGGGAGGTGAGGGGCAGGAACGGCAGGGAGCAGGGAGGTCAGGGGCAGGAACGGCAGGGAGCAGGGAGGGCAGGGGCAGGGAGCAGGGAGGGCAGGGGCAGGGAGCAGGGAGGGCAGGGGCAGGGAGCAGGGAGGTGAGGGGCAGGAACGGCAGGGAGCAGGGAGGCAGGGAAGGAACGGCAGGGAGGGCAGGGGCAGGAACGGCAGGGAGGGAAGGGCAGGGATCGGGGAGGGAGGGGCAGGGACGCAGGGATGGTGAGGGAGGACAGCAGGGAGCAGGGAGGTCAGGGGCAGGAACGGCAGGGAGCAGGGAGGGCAGGGGCAGGAACGGCAGGGAGGTCAGGGGCAGGAACGGCAGGGAGGGTAGGGGCAGGAACGGCAGGGAGGTGAGGGGCAGGAACGGCAGGGAGCAGGGAGGTCAGGGGCAGGAATGGCAGGGAGCAGGGAGGGCAGGGGCAGGGAGCAGGGAGGGTAGGGGCAGGAACGGCAGGGAGGTGAGGGGCAGGAACGGCAGGGAGCAGGGAGGGCAGGGGCAGGGAGCAGGGAGGGCAGGGGCAGGGAGCAGGGAGGGCAGGGGCAGGGAGCAGGGAGAGCAGGGGCAGGGAGCAGGGAGGTCAGGGGCAGGGAGCAGGGAGGGCAGGGGCAGTTAGCAGGGAGGGCAGGGGCAAGGAGCAGGGAGGTCAGGGGCAGGAACGGCAGGGAGGTCAGGGGCAAAATGTTACGTTAGAAGCATAAAGAACACAGAGAAAGAATATATGGCAACTCTAGAATTCTTTTGGTTATTGTTAGCAATGCCGAGGAATGATTACTTCCCCCCCAAATTTCTTCTTTTTACTTCATTTTCCAAGTGCTAGCTCCCGCCTCCCGGTCCCCGTCCTCCGACCGGTCCTGTGCAAGGCGCCATCTGTCCTCACTGCCCGCATCCGAGCACGTCCTGAAGGGGAAGTCCAGGTTTCCTGGACCTCTGCTCGGTCAGGCGTGTGCAGGCTGGCGATGGCCCAGGCGTCAGGGCACTCGTGTGTGCACCTCTCCCAACAGCCCCTACGGTGACAGAGCTTCCAGACCTTGGACTCGGCCAGGACGGGAGTGTTCACACCTGAAAACTGGCCCATGTCCCAGCCCAGGCTGTTTTGAGAGGAGGATCAGCTTGTTAAATAGTAATTAGCACACTATTGTGTAGGACTATGTATCTTTCCATACAATTTCCAATTCGTTTTTAGGTCCAGTTTTTATGAATCAATAAGAAGAAAAGGTGCCCAGACTACCTATCCTGCCTAAGGCCGCCGGCTGGAGAGCGGGTTCACGGAAGGTCACGATCTCTTGTTGTTGCTTCATGTGTAATGTCTACACATATGAACTGTGAGGGCTCAGCCTCACAGGAGTGTCTAAAAGTGCCCAGGTGTCCCAAATTCCCAGATGCACCCCTGCAGGAAATCCAGGTGAAGGTCGTGCACCTCTGTGGCTCTGGAGCCGCTGTCCTGCCGGGACCAGGGCCCGATCCAGGTCGGGACACTGCCAAGAGGAACGCCTGCAGTGACGGGCTGGCTCCTTTGGCAGATGATCTGGATGCTAGGACTTGGGACAAGAGCGACAAGCTTCAGGTGCAACTCTGTGACTCCCCCTTCCTGAGGCGTTCCTGCAGTAGTCAGTAGAGCTGAGTCTGACACACCCAGCCGGGAGCTCACGAGTCCCTTTCGGAATACGTGACATCTGATTTTGACAGCAGGACTCATGAAAGAAACAAGGACTTGAATGAAGGCCCTCAAGCCCCCAGTTTCCAAGGACTACGCCATACATTTGGGGGGACATCAACAGTCACGGCACCTTCATTCTGGGCCACTTCAACAGTGAAAACACCTTCTGGTGGCATGTGTGTCCTCCTCCCTTCGTTCTTCATCACTGTGGAGCATCCACGTGACACAGGCGGTGCCCGTCCATCTCTGTCCCTTAGTGAACTTACAGTCTAGCTGTGACCCGTGGCAGTGAGCAAGGACCAAGTCGTTCAGGTGGAGGTGTTTCAGGTAAGAGAGAACTGTAAGAGGTTCAGTAGGGCAGGAGATTTTGGCAGGGGCAACATTCTTACAAATTCCCATGTAAAATTTTTTTAAAAGATTTGGTTTCCTTTAAGGAAAAATGGAAAGTATGAAAATAGTATTTACTTTTAAATTTTGTGTATAGGATACAAGAGATGATCAAATTTTATTTTAGGAAGAGCTAGAATTTAAAAGGTAAAATACAATCTATTCCAACAGTAGACTCAGTCTTGGTGTTTTAGTAAATTACATCTGGAGCAGAGCAGGCCCTGATGGGAGCTGACGCAGGTTCACTGCGGACAAGATGTGACGCAGATGAACCAGCTCATCAAGGACACAGAAAGGATTCGCTGAGGACAGCAGACTGCATCACCACGCGTGGTCGTGGGAGGGGGTGTTTAACGGAATCCATTCCACCCTCTGTTTTGCTTGTCTTCTCTGAACAGAAATATTCAGGGAGTTCTCCTGTGTCCCCACCCTGCCCTTCGGCACAGGGGACAAATACACAGTCACACAACGCCTCTGGGTCCCGGAGCCCAGCCTGACACTGAGCTCTTCAGAAAGCCATGACCTTCCGGCTGTGTGACACGGCCATCGAAGTGGGTGGGTTTTTCTGTTACATTAAATGTCCTCCTTCGAATCTCTTCCTGCCACTTGTCCTTTCGATGGGTGGTGAGGTCTCTCATACCACACCCCAGAATGTCCGCCAGGAAAATAAACAGAAGTTGCTACTTGAAAGGTTGCCTCAGATCAATAGGTCGTGGGTTTTCCTCCGTCTTCTGGAGACTGTCAGCCATGTCCCGCTGCCCCCATTTTGTTTCTAAACACACCTGGAGATATACGCAGACCAAATCGTGACAGGATCTCACCCCCTGGGCAGCACAAGGAGGCTGGACACGTGACGGAGGAGCTGTAAGGGTGGGAACAGTGACCATGTCCCCAGAGGCAAATTTTCTTTCTTTTTTCTTTATTGATTTTTAGAAAAAGGAAGGGAGAGGGAGAGAGATAGACACATCGATGAGAGAGAACATCAATTGGTCGCCTACTGCATGCCCCCCACTGGGGATCCGGCCCACAACCTGGGCATATGTCCTGACTGGGAATCGAACTGGCGACCTCTTGGTGCAGGGTTGACGCTCAACCACTGACCCACACCGGCTGGGCAATTTTTCAAAGTGTCCCAAACTGGAGTCACCCCTTAGCAGTGTGAAAATCACCAGTCACTCATCGTCCTCTGACACAGACACCATAAAGGACATTCTAGGGCCCTCGTAGAAACCACATACAATTGCAGAGATCTCCCTGTACCTGTAAATGGGTAAATGCAATTCCATTAACTGTCTGTGTGACCTGAACAGGTTTCTTAATCTCTCCAGTCCTGACCTTCCACATCCACAAAGAAGAAAAGTGGTAATTGTGGTTAAAGGGGTTAAACGACACAACACAGACACACTGTTTAGCACACAGTGGCTACTTAATGCATCTGTCCTCTCAGTTAGAGCAGCGGTTCTCACCCTGGGGGTCGCGAGCCCTTTGGGGGTCAAACGACCCTTTCACAGGGGTTGCCTAAGACATAACAGTAGCAAAATTACAGTTATGAAGTAGTAACAAAAATAATTTTATGGTTGGGGGTCACCACAACATGAGGAGCTGTACTAAAGGGTCACGGCATCAGGAAGGTTGGGAACCACTGGTTTAGAGAGAAAGAATGGAGTTACTACAAATTTATTCTGCATGTCTTTTACAAGGGCATTCAGCTATGAGGAACGAAAAAATATATTTTTCAGTAGAAATATTTTCTTTAACATAATTTATTCTAATTACTTTGTTTCCCTTAATATGCATGCTCTCTGGAAAGGTTATCCCTAATTAAGTACAGTCTACCCCAAGGAAAGAATGGTGTATTACCCATACATTTTATTGCAATATACAGCAACATACCTTGAAATTTTTCCATTCCTTTTGTAGCTCCTTTTGTAAATATTCGTTTTTTACATCCTCCTGCAAGAAAACGTAAGATGAGAATGATTAAATGGGCCAAGATGTATAAAAATGTTTAGTGTTCTGTACTGTGATTCAAACCACGACATTCACCGTCACAGCAAACCGTGGCCGCCGTGGGCAGCTGGTGAATCACCGGAGTGGCTCAGGGGGGAGACCAGCCGCCTTGCTTGACACTGGACAGGAAGGCAGATCGGATCTCCCAGGGCAAACAGGGTCTTGAAATATAGTCCTACTGGCAGCTTAGGACAATAATTATCAAATACATAAATGATTTAGTTTATACAGTTGGCCCTCGTTTATTGCGGTGCGTCAGTTCCAGACGGACCCGATCAGTGAATTTCCACGAAGTAGGGTTCTTCCTACAGCCGGGAAGCCGACAGAGCGAAGCCGCGGAAGGCCAGCGCAGCGGCGAGGGACACTGTACTTGCACACCTGACACACACCCAGAGTTCAGGCACTTTTACATCCCAGTAGCAACAAGAAACGGGTGAAACTGGACCTGCTCCCATGTTTTTTGTTGTTGTTGTTGTTTTATCCTCACCCGAAGATACTTTTCCATTTTTTGTACAGATAGAGTGGGAGGGAGAGAGAGGAAGGGAGAGAGAGAGAGAAACATCGACGTGAAGGGACACATCGAGTGGCTGCCACCCGCACGACCAACCAGGGCCGGGGACAAACTGCAACCGAGGTACATGCCCTTAGCGGGAACCGAACCCTGGTCTCTCCGGACCGCAGACCGACGCTCTAACCGCTGAGCCAAACTGGCCAGGGCTGCTCCCATGTTTTAAGTGAACACTTGGCCAACATGATTTCTCTGGTGCTGTGTCACATTGAGGCTTGTCCCTTCATTTTTTTCATCTCTTTTCATTTTTAATTGTATTTAAATCCAAACTGTGAACATAATTAATGGATACAGGTCTACCTATATGTTTATATAATACATGTAAAAAACAAAACCAACTATAGTAAAAAGGGTGTTTTTACACTTGAGGACAAGATTAAACACAGGACTATAAAGACGATTCCTTAAGCGGAAAAGACTGCACACTTCGTATTCCAACCATTCATATGAAAACCTGCAGGGGTGCCTTCCAGCCCACGCAGGATCGAAACTATCAAACGGTAAGGAATCGGATTCCATACATTATCATATAATGAGGATCTTCAAGACACAGAAGGTAAAATAGCTTATTTCTTGTCCGCAATATGGTCTTTGATATCAAATGGCAAGTTTCCAGTTGTTCACTATGATAAACAATAAGTTGTTATAGTTAATAAAATAATCAAATAAGCTAATTATTAGAGTAAGGCATGTGGGTCATTCACTTTCGCGGAGCCCCTGTGAATTCAAACTACACTGGACGCCCCTCAGACCGGCCGATTCAGCCGCAGGACGCGGACCTTGTTCATTACTCATGGTTTCCCTTCAGCATTCAGAAAGTATCAGTTTGCAGGGCTCCCGGAGGATAAACGCTCTACAAACCACTTTTGTTTTTCTTGGTGGATTTATGAGAGTTTGGCAATCTCTTCTGAAACCAGGACTCCCAGTGTGACGGAGCCTTGAGATGACCCGAGTGCCTGCGGCTTTCCTGACATCACTCCTCCCTCGAGGACAGCCGCCGGGGGACCTCACGTCGCATCCAGCCAGGGACCCCGCTCTCTTTCTGGCAGTCTGAATGAGACGTCTCCCAGCGAAAACAGAAAGCAGATGTCCACCACCAGCTGATATCCAGGGCGACACACGGACACGTGTCGGAGTGGAGTCCCGGCCCCTCTGGTCTGGGACATGCTGACGGGCGGGCGGGTTTCCTGATGGCACCCTGGGCTCTGCAAGAGCCGCATGTCACTCCCGTAGCAGATAACAGCCCCCGAATTGCAGGCTCCATGCTGCACCAAACTACTTTCTTTCCAAAGTAATAGCAATGATCCATTCGATTTCTTTAAACCATAACTAACTTAATTATTTTCAAACTATTTCTACATAAAAGAACAGAATAAAAGAGAGTAACATGCAAAAGTACTTTATCTGAACCATCACAATAATCGCTTAATCCCCTTTGTCTAAAGATTGCAAGTAGCTTCCTCCATTATCCATTATAATGGTACTCGGGCACCAGCCTCTCCGAGGACTTGCTCCCCCGGAGCACCTGACGTCACAGCACGTGTTCCTCCCTCCGGAAACCTCAATCACTGGACGCTGGTGGAGGAGACAGCAGGTGCTCAGTAAATGAAAAGAGAAATCTAGTCATTTTGCCTTCCTTCCTTTCTTTCTTCCTTCTTTCTTTCCTTCCTTCCAAAATATGGTCCTTGATATCAAATAGTAAGAGTCAAGTTGTTATAGTAAATAAAATAATAATCAAATAAACAAATTAATAGAGTAAAACATGTGGATTATGCATTTTCACCGAACATCTATGAATTCCAACTACACCGAACATCTCTCTCTCCTTCCTTCCTCCCTCCCTTCCACCCTCCCTCCTTTCCTTCCTTCCTGCCCTCCCTCCCTGTGGGGGGAGGAGTTAAAGAGGCCCCCCTCACAGTCACTGGACTTTGACAGCCACGCATTAAACATCACTCACCTGAATGAAGGTTTCACCCTGGGCCTGCACCCCACAAAGAGTGCTCAGTCTCCTGCTCCAGCTCAGACCCACGTGGAACTCCCGCCTCTGAGATCTCTGGAGCTCTCCTGCGTGGACGCTGCTCCTGGGGCCCAGACTCGGCCCCGCCCACTGTGCGGACTGCGCCTGCGCACCTGCATCCTGCCCCAGCTGCATGAGCCGTCCCCCCAGGCCACTGCCCAGGACTCAGGCGCTCAGGCTCCCAGTCCCCTCCCTGCAGGCACGTGGCCCCTCCGGGGGACAAAGAACGAACAGCCAGGAGGGCAGGAAACGGGAAAGACAGAGGAAGCCCTCCTACACGCATGTTGTTGTTGATGCTAAGACATATGTAATCTGTAAAGTGAATAATGGCTTGTTTTTGTAAAATAGAAACATGTTGAAAACTAGTAAATTCCGATCGATATTGAGATTTTAAAGTGAGAAATCTGGCTTTTTTGGTGGTGGTGGTATAGTGTAAGACATTCAGATTTTGTTATCAGGAGTTCTTTATGTAAGGAGGTTCTATACAACATGCATTTTCTCCCATTCTTATTGAAACCATGCATAAAATATTTTCTCTTTAATCTGGCCTTTTATTTTGATTTTTTCCTTTAAAAAAATAATTTTCTTTATTGATTTTAGAGCCATAAGAAGGGAGAGGGAGAGAGAGAGATAGAAACATCAATGAGAGAGCACATCGATTGACTGCCTCCAGCAAGCCCCCCCACCGGGGATCCGGCCTACAACCTGGGCACATGCCCTGACTGGGAATTAAACTGGCCACCTCTTGGTACATGGGTCTATGCTCAATGATTCAGCCACAAGAGCTGGGCTTTTTTTTTTTTTTTTTTCCTTTGTCTCAAACTGGCCTCAACTCAGTGCCCTGACTCACCCACCTCCCCCTGGCTTCATCGTTAAGCCCTCAGGACAAGGAGGTTCTGGTTAGCCTCCAGTAGCCTTGGAAACAAGGTCCTGGGTCTATTGACTACAGATACCACAGAGGCGTCAATCAAACTAAAGACAATATCCTGGCCTCAGTGTAGTTTAGCTCCAGACTCAGGAAAGCAGTGCAGTCCCACAGAACAAATCCTTGCGAAGTTGGACAGAACAACTCCATAGCTGACATCAGCACCAGACGCAATGATCAAGTACCCCTACCCTAGCATCCACCGATCAATAACGACCGTGACCCTAACTCCTTTAGTCCCCATGATTAATGATGTTTCCCTATATAACCCATCCCCTGGAAGCCAGTGGGAGCCAGGTCTTTGACCCCTAGCTCACCCGTGACTCCGTGGCACCATCTCCTTAACAAATCCTCCCTTTTCTTGGCTGCAAGCAAACTGTTGTTCATGTCTTATTGGGCTTGGATGCACGCAGGTAAACGGACCCCTTCAATCCAGTAACATTATTTAAATGACCCTTAAGAGATCATGCAGTTTTATGCTGTTAGAAATGGAGGACCCAAAAAGGAGAAACATCTGTAACAAAAATTAATTCATTAATTTAAAAAAGAAGAAGAAGAAGAAATGGAGGACCCATGAAATAATGTGCAGCTGCAGGTACTGCGGAGCCTACACTTAGGTAGCAAATATGAGCTAAATCATTTTCCTCCTTCCTATCTCAAATGTTCCACTCTTCCCTCCCTCTAAGCTCTCAAGCCCTTCACCAAGAATCGTCTCTGGGAAAAAACAAGGCACTGGAATTAAGAAGGAAAGTAGTAATTGCATACATGCTTTTTACAATTTACACTAATCACATAGTGAAAATTAATCACAGGTGTATTCAATTTTTGTCATCGAAACAAAACATTCATGTGCTGAGAAATCAGTAACATTGTCTAACAGATAAAGCATAAATAAAATCAAACCGCACTGTCCTGTTTTTATAATTTTAGAAAATTATTAAGGGTGTACTGGATGAGAGAGATGACAACAAAGAACAGCATCTGTTGGTCATCAGAAGCAAAATATTGACTAGCTTCGGCAAGAATGAGTCTCACTCGGTGCAAAGGAGGGACTCTGACCCTTATATTTGTAGAGAAGCAACATTTAGGAAAAGATTGCAGGCTCTCTGAGACAGAACCTGAAACATAATTTCTGTTAGCACCGCAATCCTGGAACGCCACGATACTTTTCTTAACTTGTGGTCTCCACTGGGTGGAGTTTCACCAGGTCGCCAGACCATCGCTGAACATGTGAGCCTCGCAGAAGGCTGGCTCATACCAGCTTCAAATAGTTTCTTGTGGCTTCCAACCGTTAATCCCTACTCTGTAATCTGAGACAAGGGGCCATTTATAGCTCCTACATAAACATTTTTAAATGATGGATGCAATGTAATCCATTTTCTTTTCTCTGTCATGAGCATCTTAATATAAATCTTCTAACCTTTTCAGTTAAG